CTCCTAGTGCTGTTGGGTAGTAGTGCTAAGCACTGTACTATCGTACAGCCATAGGTCTATTTGCCAGCAGTTGGCCTAGATCCCTCTAAAACTTTTCCTACGCATGTCCCCATCTAGATGCCTTTTAAGTGTTGTAATTAACCCTATTTCCAATGTTAATTGGATTTTGACATCTGCATTTATTGGATCCCTGTCTTAATCTTTGGATATGTAAACATTGTTCATTGGTTCCCCTTGGAACTGCAATAATATTTCACAATATTATGTGAGGTTACATTAAAAATGCATGATTTAAAAAATGCTACAGTTGGTGTTTGCCTGTTAGCCTTTGGGAACAACTGGGGAGGGAAGTGTCAGGACCTGATCACCACATGGTTGAGAGACAGTAGGAACTGCAGATGCTGGAGAATCTTAGATAACAAGGTGTAAAGCTGGATGAACACAGCAGGCCAAGCAGCATCAGAGGAGCAGGAAGGCTGACGTTTTGGGCCCAGAAGGGTCTAGGCCCGAAACGTCAGCCCTGGGCCCGAAACGTCAGCCTTCCTGCTCTTCTAATGTTGCTTGGCCTGCTGTGTTCATCCAGCTGTACACCTTGTTATCTCACCACATGGTTGAACTGCATTTGAAATTTTGCAGACTTGTTCCTCAAGTGGGACTTCAACCCCAGACATTAACTGAGATACAGTTTGCTGTATCACAAGACCACCCTGTGTTACAAGTGGGGAGTGGGAATACTGATGCATTTCACAAATCATTGTGGCACATTGAGAGGGGATTTGTAACAAGGTAGGCAGACCACTTATAGCCACGTGTCAGGTTTCAGATATTCTTGTCACCCTCTTTTGCTTTGACTTCGTTCTTCCTAATACAGATCGTTGTGTTCTTGCACGGACACCGTGGATAACGGCGCTTTCTGGACAGACAGTGACCCTGGGATGTGAAATACAAAATAGCTCATTCCTGCTGTACTGGTTTGTGCAATTTTCCAGCCAATCTCCGACTACACTGTTATATCACCATCGCACAGGCACCGCAGTCACTTACTTTAACGGTTTCGGGCCTCGTTTCTCTCCCTCGTTTGATTCGTCTACCCAAAGCTCTCAGCTAAGGAACACAAATGTCAATGTTTCAGACGTTGGCATCTATTACTGCGCCTTCCGAGCGCATGGCGAGATGAGATTCGGGTCAGGAACCACACTAACGGTTACAAATACGACAGTAGCCACTCTCTCATCTGCACACGGTTCACTCTAAAAGATGAAAATCTGGAAGCAATGTAGATCCAAAGAGACTTGAGGTCCAGGTACAGAAGTTTCACAAACAGGTTCGGAAAATAGTCAGAGAGACTAAGAGAATGCTAGCCTTTATTATCTCCTGTACAAGAGGCTAGAAGTTATGCTTCAATTGTACGAAGCCTGGTTAGATCATACCTGGAGTCACTGTGAGCTGTTCTAAGCACTGCACTCAGAAAGGACATAGGGACGTTAGTGGGTGCGCACGATCTGTTTGCCAAAGCTATAACTTGTCTCCCAGGCTGAACTAAGCGGAGAGATTGCACTATTGTCACAGATTGATAGAAATGTGACAGTACAGTAGGAGGCCACTCAGCCCCATTGTGTCTGCACTAGTTGCCCAAAGGAGCAATATACTGGCTGCTCGTCTCCCCACCTTCTCCTCGTAACCTTGCGCGTTCTTCCTTTATAAATAACTGTCTAATTCTACTTTGAGTCTCGACTGAAGCTGCAGACATTGTTTTCCAGACCTTAAGCCCTCGCCCTGTGGAAAAGATCTTGCTCGCTTTGTTCCTTTTACTGATTATTTTAAATCTGTGCCGTCTTGTTCTCGAGTCCTTCACTAACTGGAACTCCCCGTCTAAGCTGTCCAGATCTTTCACGGTTTTGAATACCTCGATCAGGTCTCCTCTCAGCTTTCTTCTCTTCAAGGAGACCGTTCCTAACCTCTCCAATCCACCCTCATTCCTGTTCCTTATCACTGGAACAATCCCTATTCATCTTATCTGCACTCTCTCCAAAACCTTCACATTTTTCGAGTGTGCAGCCCAGAGCTGAGGCTACAATAGTGTCTTATACAAATTCAACTTAACTTTCTTATCCTTGTAAAAAATGAAAGAGCTGCGGATGCTGTAAATCAGGAACAAAAACAGAAATTGCTGGAAAAGCTCAGCAGGTCTGGCAGCATCTGTGAAGAAAAAATTCAAGAGTTAACGTTTTGGGTCCAGTGACCCTTCCTCAGAACCTCAGTTGAAATAGATAATTTCAACTCAGAGTAACGTGTCTTCAGCAGTGAATGCAAAGCAAGGGCATAATTCAGAACTTTGGATATTTAAACTTTATTCTTTCTTTAGATGTATATGTCACTGGCAAGGCCGGCATTTATTGCCAGTCCCTAACTGCAGTTGAACTGAGTAGCTTTCTGGTTTAAGTCAGACAGCAATTGAGATTCAATTGCACTTTCTTTTTAAACCAAAAAAACATACTTTATTCATAAAAAGTGTATCTGTAAATGCAGACAAAAAAGGTTCTCATTCTGTTCTGTATCATCATTCCAATGAGGAAAAAGATACACAAACAGTACATTGGAATTTTACATCCACTGAGCTACTGTGCAATTGCAAGTAACAAGGGCAGTTTTAATTCATTCAGAAGGAGAATTGCTACATTTTTAGGTCCCCAGAGGGTTCGATAACTGAGCAGACCCTCGTTAAACTTCAATAGAAAGAGCTCAGGCGGTGATCTTTCCCCACTGCACCTTGGCAACAGCTGCCCCAAGCGTCCCTCAGTACGTAGTCCTGGATCTTGGAATGTGCCAGTCTGCAACACTCAGTCAGGGTCAACTCCTTGCTCTGGAAGACCAACAAGTTTCAGGCAGACAAAAGAGTGTCTTTCACTGAGTTGATGGTCCTTGAGGCGCAGTTGGTGTTTATCTCGGTGCGCATCACGGTAAACAGACCGTAGAGCACAGGGTCCTGAGTCACAGAGAAACCTCCGGGTCTGGAGTCACATACAGCCCAGACAGGAGAAAGACTGGAGGATCCGATGTGTTTTCACAACAATCCACTTTAAGGTCATCATTACTAAGATCTGATTCTAGATTTAGTTCATCAAATTTAAATTCAACTAAATGCTGTGGTGGAATTTGAACTCATGTCTGCAGAGGGTGAGCCTGGCCTTTTGTTTAATAAGGCAGTGAAGTTCAGAATGCCACTATGACCCCTCCTGGGAACTGGTAAAAGGCTTCATTGAGCATGCACAAGATCTGTACACTAGGACTGCCCTGGGTTGTTGCCTGTAATTCACTCACAATGTATCATTTCTGAGCTGACTGAACTTTACTCTTTGTTTTTTGTTTGCTTTCCCTTATAAGACAGAGATGAGGGGATTTCTTTCTTCTCTCTCTCAGCGTGTTTTGGAACTCACTGTCTCAGAAGGTGAATATTTTTGAGGTGGTTCGATTCTTGTAAGGCAGGGAATCAAAGATGATCCGGGGTAGGTGGGAATGTGGAATTGGAAACACAAACAGATCAGAATGATCTTATAAAATGGCTCCAGGGGCTGAATGACCTACTTTTGCTCGGAATTTGTATGTTCGCGTGTTTCAACTTCCAGTGAAGCCTATTTTCCTGTGAGAAGCTGTTACCTCTTCAGATATCTAGGTCACATCTGTAACGTATCCTAGTCAGACTATTTCAACTGGTTTTGTCAGACAATCCTTTTGGGACTTCAGTAGAATTAATTCACTGGAATTTGACTTCTAGGGACCTTGACAGACATTGATAGTGCAAATAGATGATGCTGTTAGCACAACTCATAGAGTCATCGAGGTCTACAGCATGGAAACAGGCCCTTTGGCTCAACTAGCTCATGCTCATAATGTAAACTAGTCCCGTTTGCCTGCGCTTTGCCCATATCCCTCCATACCTATCCCATCCAAGTACCTGTCCAAACGTTTCTTAAATGATGAAGTTGTACTCACCTCCACCACTATCTCTGGCAGCCCGTTCCAGACACTCACCACCCTCTGTGTGAAAAAAAGTGCCCCTCTGGACCCTTTCGTATCTCTCCCCTCTCACCTTAAACCTATGCCATCTAGTTTTAGACTCCTGTACCACACAGGGAAAAGCTGTTGGCTATCTACCTTATCTATGCCTCTCATGATTTTATGGACCTCTGTAAGGTCACCCCGCAGTCTCCGACACTCCAGGGGAAGAAAAAAACTCCCAGCCTATCCATCCTGTCTGTATAACTCAAACTTTCTAGTCTAACTGATCCATTTGTCGTATTTGGTTTTGCTGCTGAAATAACTCCACAGAGGCCGGTATCCCAAACCCAAGTCACCCTTTATTTACACATGCATAGTACTTGACACTGGTCTGGCTCCCTCAGAGCCAGCTCTCAGAGTGAGCAGAACCTCTGACATTCCTGTGTATATCTGTCAGACATGCCCCCTGATGGGACCAGATTAACAGCCCCAATCAGGGAACTCATTTTTTTTCTTTATTCATTCACGGGATGAGGGCATCGCTGGCTAGGCAGCATTTATTGCCCATTCCTAATTGCCCAGAGGGCAGTTAAGAGTCAACCACATTGCTGTGGGTCTGGAGTCACATGTAGGTGAGACCAGGTGAGGATGGCAGTTTCCTTCCCTAAAGGACATTAGTGAACCAGATGGGTTTTTCCAACAATGGACAATGAATTCAAAGTCATCATTAGACTCTTAATTCCAGACATTTATTGAATTCAAATTCCATCATCTGCCGCGGTGGGATTCAAACCCAGGTCCCCAGGACATTTTCAGGGTCTCTGGATTAACAGTCCAGCGAGAATAACAATAGGCCATTGCCTTCCCAATGAGGCCCACTTGACTGACCTCATTACAATCACCTTGCTGATTAATATACAATAGTTGACTAATGGCTATAGCTTAAAACTATTGTTAAACCATTAAAGATTATTCTCTCGCAATGTGGTTAGTTTTCTTCACTACGTACTGCAGATGTCTAACAATTTCACTCCAAGCTCTTCGGGCATTGGAACAAACCCTAACACAAAGGATGATAACATCTGTATTCACTATATAGATTATTATTGAGAGCAACGAGGTAATAGTGTTTTCAGCAAGCTTGAAATTTGGATAAATCCCAAGCCTACAGTTCCAGGCTACTGTGGGAGGCGGTTGTACAGGCCAAGTTTTTAATTTTCTCGTCCTTTCAGGGGACCACAGGGGAAGGTGCCAGAAAACTGGAGGACAGCCAGTTTAGAAATGTTATTCGAGAAGGGTGGTAGGGGTAAACCAGGGAGCTGTTAAGAGCTAGTGACTCTAATATCAGTGATAGGGAAACTTTCAGAGGAAAAAGAAATGAGAGACAGAATTAATCTCTACGTGGAAGGGCAAGGATTAATTAAGAATGGGTTCAGTGTGGGAACCAGGGGTGTGTACGAAGGGAAATTCAGCTGACAATGAATAGCTGATTGAAAACTGGTCACCATTGCATATAGCAATGACAAGGACCCTCTGACTGCCAATGACTGCAATTTTCTCCCAAGAAATTGAACAGTTTTTGGATGTTAATATTTGGTCAGCAGCTGTCAGACCTTTGAAAGGGAAAGGGCGGTCCTTTTCTGTACAGTGAAAACACCTTGAGCCTGAAGAAAGCCAGTTTAATCCCCCTTATGAGTTGCTGGAAGCTGTGACTTTTAACTGTGACTTTTAAAGTACGAGAGACTTTACCAGTGTGAGTCAGTGTGCCTCCAGCAGCATGTGAAAAAAGATTTACAAGGATGTTACCAGGATTGGAGCTATAACGAGAGGCTGAATAGGCTGGGGCTATTTTCCCTGGAGTGTCAGAGGCCGAGGGGTTACCTTATAGAGATTTATAAAATCATGAGAGGCACAGATAGGGTGAATATCCAGGGTCTTTTTCCCCAGGGCAGACGAGCTTAAGACTAGAGGGCATAGGTTTAAGGTGAGAGAGGAAAGATTTAAAAGGGACCTGAGGGGCAACTTTTTCACACAGAGGGTGGTGCGTGTATAGAATGAGCTGCCAGAGGAGGTGGTGGAGGCTGGTACAATTACAACATTTAAAAGGCATGTGATGGTGAGGGTTTAGAGGGATGTGGGCCAAACTCTGGCAAAAGGGACGAGGTCAGTTTAGGATATTTGGTGGAAAAGTTAGACTGAAGGATCTGTTGCTGTATAAGTCTCTAAATACTATAAAAATGACCAGGATCCAGGTTATAATAATTATTCAATTAAAGAAAATGAAACTGGGAGGGATGGTGGCTCAGTGGTTAGCACTGCTGCCTCACAGTGCCAGCGATCTGGATTCAATTCCACCCTGAGGCAACTGTCTGTGTGGAGTTTGCATATTCTACCTGAGTCCACGTGGATTTCCTCTGGGTGCTCCAGATTCCTCCCACAGTCCAAATATGTGCAGGTTAGGGCGGATTGGCCATGCTAAATTACCCTGTAGTGTCCAGGGATGTGCAGGCTGGGTGGGTTAGCAATGGGAAATGCGGGGGTTACAGGTATAGGATGGCGGGGGGGGAATGGATCTGTGTGGGGTGCTATTTGGAGGGTCGGTGTGGACTCAATGGTCTGAACGGCCTGCTTCCACACTGTAGGGATTCTATTGGAATACTTGCCAATCATCTGGGGGGAGGAATAGAGGTGGAGGCAGTGCCATAAGTGATAATGTCCCTGGATAGTAATTGATGGACCAAAAGGCCTACTTCTGATCTTACATCTTGTGTTTTAACTCAAGTCAATCGGGCCTACTAGTGACTCCAGGCCTGCCACAATGTGGTTGACTTTTAAGTGGCCTTCGGGCCCTTTCCAGTGACACATTGTCAGGCAAATTCTGTCAGCAAATCAAACAAAATTGATCAAATGCCTCCGTCTGAAGGCCTTGGAGGGTGGTGATTCCATGAATGAGGAGAAGCTGTTGTTAGTGACCTGAGAACACAGATCGACAAAATAACTAGAGGCAACTTGAGGAAACAATCTCTCTCAGGTGAGCTGTTGTGATCTGGGAGGGTCGTGGAAGCAGATTCAATCATTCGGAAAGGAATTAAATAGGTAATTGTAAAGGAAAAGAGGAACATGCCAGGATGCAGGCAAAGAACTGGGCGAGTGGTACCAGTTGAAGAACACTTTGTAAGAGTTAGCACAGGTACGATGGGCCGAATGTCCCCTTTCTCTGATTCTATTTGCATTGTCAAGAAAACCGGCGAACAGAACCTGCCCAAGATAGCCACTCAAAGGAAACCGCAAAGTCCAATTCTCCATTGTACTCGAATCTAGGTCAGCGACTTGGAAACTTCGCTGTTGGGGCTCAGCTGAATGATTACATCGGTCACTGACAATGAGAAGCTTATTTCTCTATTTCTGTCCACCGTCACCTCCTTCCTTTCCTGACGACAGCAGCGAAGATTGAAAACAACATCCAGCAGAGGTACACTAAAGCTTGGGGCAGCTACCAAGGGGACTTAAACATGGATGACAAGGGAAGTCAACCACATAAAAGAGAAAGCACACAATGTGGTGAAGATTAGTGGGAAACCTGAGGATTGGGAAACCTTTAAAAACCAGCAGACGATAACTAAAAAAAAAATAAACGGGGGGTGGTGGGGGGGGGGGGAGGGGGGGGGTGGGGGGCGGGGGCGGGGAGCGGGGGAGATGAAATATGAGGATAAACTAACTAGTAATGTAAGAGAAAATTGCAAACTTTTTTTAAGACATACAAAAGGCAAGAGAAAGGTAGAGTGGACATTGAACTGCTGGAAAATGAGGCTGGAAAAGTAGCAATGGGAACAAATAAATGGCGAAGGAAATGAATAGGTACTTTACATTAGTCTCCACGGTGGAAGACACCAGTGGCATACCAGGACTTCAAGAGGGTCAGAGGACAGGGGTGACGGTAGCAGCCATTACAAGGAGAAGATGCTAGTGAAGCTGAAATGTCGGAAGCCAGATGAATCGCTCAGACCAGATGGACTATACCCCAAAGTTCTGAAGGAAATAGCTGAGGAGATTGTAGAGATATTGATGGCGAGCTTTCAGGAATCAATGGAGTCTGGGAGGGTCCCAGAGGACTGGAAAATGGTGAATGTAACACGCCTGTTGAAGAAGGAAGGGAGTCAGAAGACAGGAAATTATAGACCAGTTGCCTGACCTCGGCCATTGGTAAGAGTTTAGAATTCATTATTAAGGATGAGACTGTGGACTACTTGGAAATGCATGGTAAAACATGGCTGAGTCAGCATGGCTTCAGCAAGGGGAGGTCGTGGCTGACAAATCTGTTAGAATTCTTTGAGGAGGTAATGAGCAAGTTAGACAAAGGAGAGCCAGTGGACGTGATCTATTTGGATTTCCAGAAGCCCTTTGACAAGGTGCAGCACAGGAGGCTGCCAAATAAGATAAGAGACTGTGGTGTTAGGGGCAAGGTACTGGCATGGGTAGGGGATTGGCTGAGTGGCATAAGGCAGACAGGGGGGATAAAGGGATCTTTTTCAGGATGCCAGCCGGTGACCAGTTGAGTTCCATAGAGACCAGTGATGGAAACACAAATATTCATGTCATACATCAGTAAAATGGCCGAAGGGATGGAGGGCATTGTTGCTAAGTTTGCTGATGACACAGAGATAGGTGGAGGTACAGATAGTATTGAGGAAGAGGGGAGGCTGCAAAAGGATTTGGACAGACTAGGAGAGTGGGCAAAGAAGTGGCAGATGGAATACGATATGGGTAAGTGTGAGGTCATGCAGTTTGAGAGGAACAATAGAGGCATAGACTGTTTTCTAAACAGGGCAAGGCTTCAGAAATCTGAAACACAAAGGAACTTGGGGGTCCTAGTTTGGGACTCTCTTAAGGTGAACATGTAGGTTCAGTTGGTGGTTAGGAAGGCAAATGCAATGTTCACATTCATTTTAAACAAAGCAAAATTGATGGATCCAAGATTGGTTTGAAGACCCCTTGTGGCACAGTGGAAATGCCCCTGCCTCTGAATTTGGGTTCAAGTCTCATCTGCTTCAGATATGTGCAATAACATCTCCAAACAGGTCAATTAGAAAATATCTCCAAAGTAAGGAAGAAAAAGCAAAGAGTGGTGGTCAACAGTTGTTCCCAAGAGAGGCAGAAATAAGCAGTGATTCCCATTCAGAATGGAGTTACGAATTACTGCTCTACCCCATTAATGACTTGAGTTATACAGGGCATGATTTCAAAGCTCGCGAAGCCTTGAAACATGGACGCTTGCTAAACATAGAGGAGACTAGTGAGAACAGAAGCGATTAACCAGGATGTTGCTGGGAATGGAAGGTTTGATTTATAAGAAGAGGCTGGGACTTTTTTCACTGGAGCTTAGGAGGTTGAGGGGTGACCTTCTAGAGGTTTATAAAATCATGTGGGGCATAGATAAGATGAATGGCAGGTGTCTTTTCCCTAGGGTAGGCGATTTCAAGACTAGGGGGCATATTTTTAAGGTGAGAGGAGAAAGATTTTAAAACAGACATGAAGGTCAATTGTTTCATGCAGAGAGTGTTTTGTGTGTGGAATGAACTTCCAGAGGAAGTGGTGGATGCAGGTACAGTTACAATGTTTAAAAGATGTTTGGATAGGTTCATAAATAAATGTTTGGAGGGATACGGGCCGAGTGCAGGCAGGTGGGACTAGTTTAATTTGGAACGTGGTTGGCATGGATGGGTTGGACCGAAGTGTCTGTATCCATGCTGTATGACTCTGACTCTACATCAGAGGGGTGCTATGAACACCGAGTTGGCCACAGCTTGTGTAGATGGTGCCAGTGATTCCTTGGCATTTGCTTAGGCTCTGAATCATCTCCACACCACAGCTCAGGGATGGTGACCATCATGATCAGCTGCATAGCAACCCTGAGTTTCCACTTAAATGGAAGAGAAGTGGAAGTTGGAAGTGTTTTAACTTGAATCACACCTACAGGTGTTTCCCACCCAAGATCTCACCTCGGCGGTTCAAATTTAATTCAGAGATTGGGGTTTCCAATTTGTGAGGTATAAAGGTGAC